CTATATTTAAAATTAAATTTGCTGTTACTGCATTTAAATAATCTTCTACAGAATATTCAGGGTCTGTTCCTGTGAATACCATTAATGGTTTGTTTGATGTTGTTGATGATCCACCCATAAGGTATGGATTCATTGTCATTTGTAATGATTCTGCGGCATTTGGCATTTGTGAAAAATTTGAGAGTTGATTTTTTGTTATTTCGTGTTGTTGAAGGTAATATGGAAGTGGTATTTTATTTTGCATTTGTGTTGGTTGATACGAGTGTGTAATCATTGGGTTTTGTGGCTGAATTGGTTGAAAAGATTGTGTATTAATCGGGTTTTGCATTTGTATTGGTTGTTGATTTTGTGTATCTATTTGATGTGGAGAAAAAATTCTATGATATGTATATGGTTTTTGCACTCCTTGTCCGCGATATTCTTGGGTATATGGTGCAAATATATCTGGTTGTAAATAATCATCATCAGAGGATAGGTAATCCGTTTGATGAGGTGCTTGTTTTTTATTTTTATTCTGTTGAAAGAATGGGTAATTTTCACTACGATCCTGTGGAGGATGTGAATTAGTTTGAAAATTTACTGAGTTGGTTGTTGCCATTGGGTTATCCCAATATCGAGATTTTATCTGATTATTATTATTTTTTCGTGGGGGATAGTTTATTTTTGATGAATGTGCGTAATTATAATTGTGTTCCGCAAAAGTGTTTCTTGTGAACCTTCTGCGTGTTTTTGACGGTATTGTCATGGGTCTATAAGTTTGATAATCCATTTGTGAATATTTTGGAGCAACCGAAGGTTTAACGGTTGATTGTAAGGTTACTTGTGCTAGTGAAGTGTTTGTGTTTCTTGGTGTTGTTAAATTTGGACGTATTGGTGAAATACTTTGTTGTGTAGTTGTTGTTGTTTGGACGATTTCTCCATTTATGAAGTGTGATGGTGTTTGAATATCTTGTTGAGTGAGATTCCTAGTTCCGTTGAGGTTTTCAATGTGTATGACGGTCGAGTTTAGGCTGTTATTTCGTGTATCAGGTAGAAATGTATTGTAGTTTAGTGGTGTTGCATCAATTGTTAATGGTACTACTCTTACATAATCTCTTGTATAAGATATTGTACTTATTGCTTGACTTCCAATTGATTGTGGGATATTTATAAATGCATAATGAGACTATTCGGGGTCCCAAACGTAGTCTGATTGTTCTGTGATGGCGGTATCATCGTTTGAATTTTGAGGTCTGAAATTTTTTCTTGCTTGTGAAATTAAATCTATATTATGTGTGAAATAATCTATTATAAACCATGCCAAAATTTTTTGTAAGTCATGTTTTGTATGTTCTGAAACATCATCTTTAGTGAAATTTTCTTTAATTATATGTAGGAAAGTTGAAAATACTGTGATTTCATGTCGTACCCTTATATGTTTAGATGTCTCTGTCGGTGAGACATTTGGGATTGGGATTTCGTTTTCTAATATTGAGATATAACTATATATTATGGCAAAAACTTCATTAGTAAATATGGTGTTTGCTCTTTGTGAGTTATGATATTGTATGCTTTTTATATATTCTGAGAATACTTTTGAAAATTCTAAATCAAGATCGTCTGTTTGAATTACATATTTGCGGTGATTCGGGTTTGGTGAACTAAATTCTATGGTGTAGATTCCGTATTGTTGTGTCAAATTACATATATCTTTCAGATAGTGATCAATAATTTGACTTTTGATCTTTACATCTGGGAACTCTGCTTTACATGGGCTAATTCTGGGTTCAAATAAATTTAGGAGTAAATTCTTGCAAAATATATGCTGTCCTCTATCATTGGGTGCATCTACGAGGAAGGGGTAGATATCATCATCATCTGGACTATCTTCACTTGGAGTGTGTGTTTGGCTAATTTTTTCATTTAATGACTGTTAATAGGTAATTATCGATGTGTCTAATTGGTTGATTCCAATTATATAAATGTACTGGTTTGTGTTTATATTGCTTTTTTATTCTTCTTTTTCCTCTTTTTGATGAATTTGAAGTTGTTTCTGAGTCGGAAAAATATAATTGATCGTGAATGGCGCAATTTTTATCTATAGATTTTTTTAATTTATAAAGTTCGTCTAAATTGCTGGCTTCTGATTCTGAAAATGCTTTTCTATTTTTGGAAAATCTTTTTCGTGTTATTTGTTTTTGTTTAGTTATTATTTTCCTTTTTAATGTTTGTCGTTTCATTCTGATATATCCAACTGTTTGTGTGTGAGGTGTGATTACAAGGTCGTATTTTTTGTTATCTATTTCACAGTTGTGCAAAACGATTGTTTGTTTGTTTCCTAGATTTTTAAATGAAATAAGGTTTAGGATGACGGATGCTAAAAGTTGTTAGATGATTTCTATTTTCTTAAATTGTTAGTCCTTACGATTTTTTGGTTAGCTTAAACTGGGTCTATTTGTTCAGGGTTGGAGAGAAAAGTATATCGATTCCGAAGAATGATTTTTTACTTTCTCGTGGCTAGTATAAGCTAAGGTGTTAACTTACTTAATCTTACTTAGGGGTAATGATTGTGTTCAAGGGTTGGAGAATAGTAAATCGATCCACAAGGTTCAGGTATAATTAGAACGCGAGTAGTTCGTTAGATACTATTTTAAACTTACTTAGTCTACGATTTATCCTGGGTCTGGTAAAAGGAGGGTTCAAGTGAAGGATGAATAACCGAAGTTCTTCACTGTTTATCCTAATTTGAATGATTAGTTTTGTTCAAAAATTTCTATTAGTCTTGGGTTTTTTGAAAGGGTTGGATAGTGAATCGACGTTTGAGGTCGTTAGACACTAGCTAAGTGGGTGGGGGAGAACAAAATTGTTCTTTTTGATCCAAGGATAGGCCTTGATGATCAAGTTTTGTAAATTTAATTAAATAGAAAATTAATTAAGATCCAAGGATAAGCCTTGATGATCTGATTTTAAGATTAAGTGAATTTAAGTTTAAAATGGTTTAAATTTATTTAAGAAAAGATTTAGTGTTTTAATGATATTAGTGAGCTTATGATTGCTGTTATGTTTTAGGTGATGAAGCTGGGACAACTGATGATTTTATGATTACTAACAGTTTATTGTCATGCTACTAATTTTTATTTTGATTTTCAATAAATATTTTCCAAACATGTTTTATAGAATACTGCAGAATTTTAGGAAAACGATCTGAGATATTTTTATCAATCGTTATTGTATATTAAAATTTTCAAAATTTTGTTTAGCGCCTGAAATGAGCATGAAGATTGACTTCAAGATTTAAGTTTGCAAATGAAAATCTAAATTCATTGCTAATAAGATTCTAAATATAAAAGTTTGTGTTGGCTTTTGCCGTACTATCATACAACTATTTGGTAAGTTTCTACTTTGTCGTATGTCGTCTCTGGTTCGAGGTCTTCTTCCAATTCCGGGTAGTTCTCTTATCGTTCGGAATATTGGCTTTGATCTATTGAGTCGTAGAGACATTTCGATTAAATTATCGTCGTGTAACATTTTAAAAATGTTTTGTCTAAATTCTAATCTATTTTTGGTTAATTCTAAGCTATTAAGGTCTTGTTCGAGACTTATGGTCGCACCAGATGAGTTAGAACCAATGTGGTTAACTCATAGAGTAATTTCGGATAGGGTACACCGTCTGCTCGTCACGCTATCTTATTTTCGGCCGGATAGATTCGTGCAACTTCTTTGTCTAATACCGATCCTAATCTTACTCTTATACTATCTAGTCTCAGGTTGTTTAACTAGTCTCTGCTAGGCTCAATAGATCTAGGGTATACTGGTTTATTGCGGCTGCTGAAGTTCTCTTGGAGAGGCAACTAATTTCTAAGTTAAATTCAAATCTCTCTGGTGCTGAAATTACAAGTAATTTCAGCACTTACAAATAAGTGGGTTGTTAGTTAGATGGATCATGATTGGTTAATATTAAATACTTTACAGTGGTAAAATATCTAATTTATCCAATCATAAAATGTAGTTTAGATCAGGTTCCATTTTGGAAACTTCAGTCTATTATTTCTCTTTTCTCCCTGCTTTTATTGGGTTATTGTTTTGTAAACACTTGAATCAGCCAGACTTCTACACTGTGAGACGTCAATCAAAAATCACTTCGAAATAAATTGATTAACTAACAGACGAACAGGGAGACGTTATTTTTACAAAAGATTTTGAAATCGCAAAAAAGCTTTTTTGTTTCAGTGTTTTCTGTCAATTTTGTAACACCGGTTGCTTTTCGAAAGCGAAATAAATAGCAGAATTCAAGTGTTTTTTTTTGAGAAATTCTAAGAAAAGTCCATCTTCATCAAAAAAGGGACGAAAAAATGAAAACAAGTAAAGAAAAAGTGAAAACAATTTCGGTTCTGCAGCTACAGATGATTTATCAAAAGCTGTCAGCCTGTCTAAAGATAGTTCGCTTAATATTATCATGATGGAAAATTTATGGCTTTTTTGTTTTTAGAGGACAGAAATTAGTCGAAGATTGACTATGCTTGGTGCAGTTTATCAGTTTATACTAAGACTTCAGAAGTATAATGAAGATCTAATTATGATTGATTACCAGTAGTTTTGAACTCATAAATCTGTAATTTGAAGGCACTTAAGCAGTGATTGCTTCCTCCAGTTTGCAACTTAAACTGAGATGATGAAAACTTACCTCATAATGACTGCTTTGCAGTTTTTGCAACGTCTAATTAACTGCAACTCCTGCGCAATATGAGCTCAGCCACAATTTTTCTGGTGATGATTGGGCTTCTTTTATTTATCATTTTTCGAACAAAACAATATCATGCTCAAATTAAAAAAAACGAAAATGACTAAACGAAAATGAGAATCTTTTTTGTTCGTGCGTCCCCCTTTGCGTTTGATACATCCGTGTTATGTGTGATTATCAATCATTTCCGTATCAATCTCAATCAACATGATTTAAATTAAAACATGAAAAACAGGGCCACATAAGAAAATCGCTTCTCCAAAGAATTTTTTTGTTTCAGACGATGTCTTTCGACTGCTACTTTCGATTGTTATGGAAAGACGCGCGACTAATTGAGACTGCCAGGTTTCTCATCGAAGACCGGAAGAAACCCAAAACCGACAGAAAAGCCCGCAAGCATGCCGAGTCAATCCAAGAAGAAGTCGGACTGGTGATTAATCAGACGACAACTACAGGAGTTCCGTCTCTCGACACTTCGGCAACGAAGACGACTGCAGCGAGTAAGAATCAATCGGAAGAGGAAGCGAAGAAAAAATCTGGTCCAGTTGATTTTGTGCTCCTGGGGGAGGAGTACGCTGAAGCAATTTGGAGTCCGGACTTGTTTTTTCCAGATTCGGTAGACATCGAGAGACCCGGAAAAGGTAGGACGAACCAAAGTTAAATACATTCTGAAATCACAGGAAAAATTACATTATCCCCTTAAAATTTTCAGAAGGTGGATGTAACTAGTTTTTTTAAACTTATTGTATCCAACTAGTAGGGATTTGGGTAGGCCGGTGGTTCTGACCGTTCAAAACGGTCAGAACCACCGGCCTACCACCGGCCTCTCTCAGGGATTCAACTCTGACCGTTCAAAACGGGAACAACCTTCGGCACTGTTTCACAACAATCAATTTTGGTCGACCAACCGTAGCTTATTTTTAAAGGATGCCAAAACACTCAATTGGAGGAAGCCTCAAAAAACGCAATCGTTAGCTCAAAATATTCCAAAAGTATCAAAAATGGAACTTTTGGATTTTGCTTAAGCAAAAACTCGGCTCGTTCTTTTTTCGAAAAACTATCGCGTCTGACTACCCTGTCATCCTACTAGATCCAAACCTGATGAAAACTAGGATTGCTGTCATTAGGAATTCTGTCGGACAGCAGTGTGTTGGTGTTGTATCTGAACGGAGATGTGTTCCGATCTATGCGACTTCAAGTGAAGAGCCGGTGCAAAATGGACCTCACTCTGTTCCCCATGGACGTACAAGTGTGCGATGTGTGTGTAGAGAGCTGTGAGTATATTCGGTCCTTATAAACCTTCAGAGTAAATAAAAATTTTAGCGTAGTTTTGTCTGAAAATTGTTCTTGACGCTGCGACAATCTTGTTCAATTTTTTTTCGAATCCGGATCACAATCTCGGGCTTCTGATATCTACGCTTAAAAACGATCGTCAATTCTTGAGATAGACAAAATTGGACCGAATAAAATCTACCCTAAGACCATAATTTCTTCTAGTCAGTTCGTGAAGAAGTCAGAAAAAAATATATTTTATTTTGTAATAGCTGCAATATGTAATCATAATTTAAGAGATTAATATAACTACGCTGGCAAACTTACTGCATATGAGGGCAGCATTGGATCTACTGCTCGCATATTGGCAGCATAGGTCCAAATACAAATGTCACTTTAAGGCTTTCGTATCATTAAATCGTCAAATCAAATCAAACCATTTCCATTATCTTTCAAAATATTGGGTTAACATTATTCGTTAACATTCGTTTTTTGAATCAATAAGTTACCACCTTATATCTTTATAAACTCAAATTTTTATAAAAGCGAACACGGGAGCTCCGTGTCAGCTACCTCTAAACTACAGTCAAGAAATTCTAAGTAATGCCAAAATGTCGGTCCACGACCAAAAGTTCATAGTTTATGATCTGAGTTTTTGAAAAATTTACATGTTTTTATGGTCGAAGTTAGTCTCAATACCTGTCCATAAGGTCGCAATAATCCTGAAACTGACTTGAATGGCATGTTCTAAAACGAAGGAAAAAAATCCTATGATGAGATTAAGGAACCCAAAACCATGTAAAATGATCACAATTAGATGAAAATAGGTCACGATAGTATGTAACATATGTTTTCATAGTCTGAAAATGGGGTTGAAAAAATTGTACACTTGTCAACAGAATCTAGAAAGTGGTTCGCGGTAGTCTATAAAAATGTTAAAATGATCAGGAAACGGTTCGCAATAGTTGAGAGTTTTCTTTGTCAACAAAATGACAAAAATTTAGAAATCTTGGTTAGCATGGTTTGATTATCATCATGTTTTCTTAATCCAATTGAATTTTGGAAAAGTAATTTTTGGAATTTTTTCCTCAAATATGTTTGGAGGACATTGTATTTTTGATGTGGACGCTTATCTTTTAGTTGTCTACATTGTTTTTGTGCCTCTTCTAGAGTTAGAATTTTTTCGAGCTAAACAAAATTCTTTAAACAGAGAAAAAAGATTACAAAAAAATTAAAGTATGTTTTATTTGTCTATTTTGTAAGGTTAATGTAGTTTATGAGCAATGCTTTTCATATTTGCCTCTTGATTTTTGCAAACAATAAGAGCTCCCGCGGTATAAAAAAGTAAAAATGCAAAATTTTTTCAAAAGTTCATATTCTTTATAAATGTTCTAGGCGCAATTATGTTAGGTGAATGACATTTAATCGAAAAACTCAATTCAGAACAATTTATTCTGGGTGCAAAAAATTTACATATCAGTTTTACTCAGAGTTTTTTTCAGAACAAGCATCAAAGCGGAAAACTATTTGAAAACATTTTTATTTGCAAGTTTTTCCATTGTTTGATTGTCGAGAAAATCTGAAGGAAATCTGTGAAGAATCTTTATAAACTAAGAATTCAAAAAGGAAAAAAAAACCGATTTTAATCGATTGAATCCTGTTTTTTGTTCCTCAAAATCAGTGAGAAAAAAAGCAAACAAATCTGACAAAATCGATCTAAATCAATTTAAAATAGATCGAAATCGATTTTCTGAGCTACTTTTGACGAATCAAGAAAAATCGATTGTTTGTAAGTTATTTGCTATATTCTCTTTGTAAAATTGATTTCAATCCTTTTCTGGCTAGTACGGGACATCACAAAACCACTCACGCGGTTTTTAAATATCATTTGCTAAGTAGGCTTACGTTGAAAAACTGTTTAAACGTCTCAAATTGGGCAAAATTGTTGTAACCTTTTTCAATTATTTTTTTTTATGATTCCGGCCATTTGAAAAAAATGGAGGAAGTTTCATTTCTGGCGTTTTCGATTTTTTTGTTCATTTTTTCCCTCGTAAAATCACGTACCACAAATAAATTTGAAATTTTACGAGAGATATATCATTTTAAAGCACTTTCAGTCGTGATTGGAACGAAATTTCAAAAGCAATTGATATTTTTTCGAGAGAAACCGATTGAAATTTTTGATTTTTTGTCTAATGAGGTTCGTAAAAATAAAAAATGAAGTTTGTAGGCTTGCAAAAGTTTACGTAGACTTAATTCAAGCCGTGAAATTAGTGAAATTAGTAATTGAAATTTTTAGCAATTCGTCAATCAAAAATTCTTTAAATATTTTTTTCTTTGTTTTTCTTGTAATTTTTCTTCAAAAACTATTTTGTACTGGGCCCATTTAACTATGAATTTCGTATATACCTTATTTCTTATTTTCGATCAGATCTTACTATCACATCACACAGCAAAAAATGTCAATGTTTTGAAGAAATGTCAATGTTTTGAAGCTTTTATTTTGTTATTCTAGATCAGTACCACAGTCTGGATGTGAACATTTCGTGGGGAGATGAGTTTGTGATTTTGGAGAAGGACAAGGTGAGAAAGTATGGGACTGCCAATTTCGACATCATCTACGACAACTTTTACTGGCGCAGAGAGACACAGATCAATTTCAGTCAGTACCACCTTACGTTTTCAGCTATTATTTTCTCTTATTTTTGTCAAGGTTTTAACAAAAAAATTTTTCCGTTTTTTTTGTAACTTACAAAAAATCTAATTACACTGTTTGATAAGGAGATAAGATTTTTTTATAATCTAGTCTTATTAGTTATCTTTCTATACCAAATTACAAATAACATGCTGATTTTACCGTGTTGTACGGTAGCTTAGACGCTAAGCATGCTTATTTTCTGCAGAAAGGTACCAAGGTTTTGGCATGTAACAGGCAATTAGAATAACGTGTACACGGAAAAATATGTTGATTAGGTGAACCCGGGGTATTGAATGTGTTTTTGTAGCCCCAAATCCAACAAAATAGTTGTTGTTCCGAAGAAAATGACAGAATATGTTTTTAGCTCGGAGTCGTTTTTTCTCCAGACAAATTACGACTAATTAACTAGTAATTTTTGACAAAAATTTTTGGTATAAGCCGAAAAGTTTTGTTGTCCTGAATTGAAATTTAAAAATATAATTCACCTGTGACTTTATTTCAAAGTTATGGGGGTTTAAAGATTGCAAAATTGGCCTATTTGGGAAAATAAGCGCGCTATTTACTCCGTGCTCATAATGCCGAAGCGGAGATTTAATTCGTGGTAGAACCCGTACCAAATTGATTATAGGCATGCGATTGAGTCTGTTCTTTTTTATTGTATGGAGAATATAGAACTTTGTTTTTTGCATAGCGTGTGGGGGTGATTTGTAAAAAAAACCTCAAATTTTTTTTGAAAAATGAGACAGGAGCAAAATCACATTGAATTTATGCCAGTTTCACATTCATCAGGTTAAAGAGAAGAGCTCGGAAAATTATTTTAGTCGATCTATAAAAAGCGTGACTAACATTTTTAAATCTGCCCTCTTACCGTCGAGAAAACTTTATTCCCGCACCTAGACTAGTTAAACTCGCTTAAAAAATTGAACAAAATAAAATTTATAGTTTTTTACTGGTCTGCCAAAAATATCAAGCCTTTAATCAGTTCCAGGTTCCAAAGCGAAATGTCATAAAGCATTCGAAAAAATTTTTGAGTTTTATTTTGCCTCAACTTCAGTAGTTTGTTGATAGAACTCAAATGGCAAAAAAGCATCATAGAAAGTACACTAAAAATGGTGTTCTGACCATTTTGAAGAAAATGACGTAATATTTGTGCTCGGGTGTTTTTTTGCTCCAGACAAACTTTGACTTTTCAATTATCATTTTTCGTCTGAATTTTCTAAAATCATATTTGTAAAGGTAATGTTGCCCTGAGCGCAAACTTAAAAAGATGCTTCCGCTCTTTTTCATTTCCCTCCATCTCACGTGAGCATTAATTTTATGGAGTACTAGGGGTTTTACAAGGGTTAAAAGAAAAAGAGCCGATGTTTCACCTGTGATAAATTATTGTAAAGTGATGAAATTTAAAGATTACCAGTTTGGCCATATTTGGACTGTTAATGGAGATTCAATATCTGTCTCAGAAATTTGGACATATTCTTTGGTCTCTATAATAATATTTATTATGTTTTGAAAAAGTGAGGAATATGTAAGCTCTGAGTGGTGTTTTTATTCAGACAACTTTTACATAATTTTGGTCACTCGGGGGATCAATCTCTTGATCTCCTTGACTCCAGCAGAGTGTGCACACCGATGTAGCAGTTTGCCATGAGTATGACTAAGCGTGCTTCTTTTATTATCTGGCACTACAAAATCTTTCCAATTTGAATTGGGCAGCTAATTAGTTTAATTGACGCCATACTTTACTCAAATATTTAATTCCAGCCTAGACTTCACAATTTTGCCAATATTTAGATTATAATAATAATAATCATAATAATAATAATAATAATCATAATAATAATCATAATAATAATCATAATAATAATAATAATAATCATAATAATGAATTCAGAGTAATAAAACTCTAGGGGTAATAACCCCAAGTACACATTTACAGAATGAGTGCTTGAACAGAAGAGCCATGCGCTGAGCAGTTTGTACAGTCGCAGTTTAGCCGCCACGTGCAAGGAGAGACAGGAACTATGCGAGACCAATTAAAGGGCAGTCGCAACATTCAGGGCTTTACCCTGATACGAGCAGTCTTGTTTTACTTAAAATTTTTCCAAAGAAATTAAAATGCAGTCAGAAAATTTAATGTTTTGCCCTGATATGAGCTGTCTTGTTTCTTTTTTTAAATAATGCTGCTTTGCCACACAGAAGATTTGCAGATTCTTTGAACACTAAATTTTATCAGCTGGTTTTTTGTTACAGTTGCAGATAAAAAAATTGCATTATTTTCCAAATTCATGGTTTGTGCCGACTTTCGATTACCATTTCTTAAACACTTCTGTAAACTGCAAGCGGCATTATTGGTCAAATTAAAATTTTATTGCTATCTTCAATTCGAAGTCTGTCTGTCTGCCTGTATGAACTGTGTGAGCAGCAAACATTTCCATGTACTTAAAACTGATTTTATTGTGAATTCAGGAAAGATAAGTTGCTCCAGTAATTTCCAATCAGAAAATCAGCGGATAATAATTCAATTGCTGTTGTTATCTAGAAGTTGTCAGATCTGAAAGGAATGCTCCCAACTTTTATCGTCTTAGAATGTCTTCCTCGCATCCCAAAACAGCGTCCATGTACAAGGGTTAGCCTTATTGAAAAGTAAAACATGATTAAGTAGATGGTTTTCCAGATGAGGAAGTCTAATTTAGAACTCAGAGCAAGATTTTTCTGAGAGAAAGTTTTCAAGGCTTAATATACGGCCATTTTTTTTTTAAATTCAAGTAAACTCATTTGTTTCGAGTCGTAATTGGAAAGTGTTTTCACTCTGAAACATTTTGACAAATTAATGTGATGGTATACACATTGATGTGATGGTTTCTTCATTCAGAGTAAAGTAATCGCTTTCAAATTTATTTGCCGCTTATTTTAATGCTTTTTTTCTGGAGTTTTTCTAATTTTTGTAAATTAGTACAAAAAACTTATATGAACTTCTAATTTTGCACATCTAGTTTTACTTTTCGAGTAACCCATATGACCACAATGGCCCTTTACATCTTCATTTTTATTGATTTGATCATGTCAAGGTTTTGTCGGTATTAATTAAATTTTTCCAATTAAAAAATTATATATTTAAATATTATAACCGTTTATGGTTTCTCGCAATTGAGAATATTAAATTTAGAATATCCCTTGCTTGTTTTTAATGGCAGTCATGCATTTATTCCAAATATGGCTATATGAGCCCTCAACTTTTCGAGTAACTGACTTTTGTGAGTTAAGAAATGAGATTTGAAACTCAAACGATCAGAAAGGGGAAGGCTCTTTTTTGTTTGTTACTTACGGTCTTCTTGTTCCGACCAACCTTAACGAGTTTCATTTTTTTTTGTTCCAAGGTTTTCAGTTATGTTGCGAATTGCATTGAAGAAATGTTTTTAAATTTTGGTGTGAAAAGTTTGGTTTCCATGTTATTTTAGACAGAAGAGTGGAGTTGTAAAAAAAATAGATAGCTTAGGAGAAAAGCTTACATATTTTTTTTTTGCAAATCACAAAAACTCTCATCATTATACAAAATTTACAATCATTGTTTCAATTCGTACTCTAAAATAAGACCAAATAAAAAGGCCAAAATATCGATAAAATTCTATGATTTCCTTGCATATTTTGAGTTCAAAATCTGATTTCAGTTGATTTTTTTTCGATTCGTTTCATACGTCTATGCTCAAAATCCGATTTACATTCATGATTTTCTATGATTTAATTGCATATTATTGAGATCAAAACTCATTTTGTTTTGACACTTTTCTTGTTTGCTACATAGGATTTTGCGCATAGTCCAATTTCCAATGATGATTTTTTATGATTTCATTGCATAGTTTCGAGCTGAAATCTTATTCATGTTGATCATTTTTTTGAAATCTAAAACATCTGGCAGAAAACTGCGAGAAAAAAATTTTGTTTCTTTTTTCTAAATTGTAAGTTTTTTTGCCAAAAAATTGATTCTGTGAGTCTGAAAATCCATCCAAACACGCTTAAATCAATCGATTTAAAATGGATTTAATTGAGATTTGGATGGATATAAGTGAATTTCGGATGGTTACTAGTGAGTCAAAAAACCCATCCAAATTGATTTAAGTCGATTTTTAAGACACTTGAATCAATCAAATTATGTATCAAGAAATGTAAATTGTTATTCAAGGATTGATTTAAAATCAATTTAAAATCAACTTAAATCAATCCGAAACCATTTTTGTCAGTGCGGGTACTTTAATAGCTGAATTTGTTAGCCGATGTGGTGAAAAATTGAACATTTGACAGCTTTTTTTAGAACTCAGAGCAAGATTTTTCTGAGCGCAAGTTTTAAGGCTTAAAATACGGCCATTTTTTCATCTTTAAGAAAACTCACTTGTTTTGAGTCGTATTTGGAAAGTGTTTTTACTCTGAAACATTTTGAAAAATTATTTTGATGTTATACACTTTGATATGATGGTTTCTTCATTCAGAGTAAAGTACTCATTTTCAAATTTTTCACCACCATTTTTAACGTATTTTTTCTGGATTTTTTCTGTTTTTGTACATTAATACAAATTTTTATAAAAATCTAAATTTGCACATCTAATTTTACTTTCCTATTAAACCCATATGACGACAATGGTTCTTTTCATCTCCTTTCTATTTGATCTAATCTTGTCAAGGTTTTGGTGATATTAATTAAATTTGTCCATTTTAAAAAAATTTACGTTTAAAAATTAGAACCGTCTATAGATTTGTCACGATTGAGAACATTACATTTAGAATTTTTTCCGCTGGCTTTTATGGCAGCCATCTACTCCATATATGGGTATCTGAATTCTTAACTTTTCTAGTAACTGACCCTTGTGAGTTAAGAAATGAGATTTGAAACTCAAATTTTTATAAAGAGTTAGGCTCTTCTTCCAGGTTTTTTCAGTTATTTTGCGACTTGCATTGAAAAAAGAATGTTA